TGAAACCAGGCTCAAATTGCTACCATGCGAAACAGCAAGTGAGCGGGTTTTTCACCGAAACCCTAGGGGCGTCTCGTCTAGTAAATGTAGCGGAAAGCATCGAAATTGCAAATTTGCATATATATATATATAAACCTCATTGAACATCCTCTGCTCCCGGGCGGTGTATGAATCAACAGTAAATGGAGAACCCCCCAGGTCTTGGGGTGATCTTAAAGCATATGCTTTGTTAGAGGGGCCTTTGGTGGATTCCGCTGGTGAGGCTCCCATGTTGGAAGAGCTGACCTTTGCAGACTTTTCTTCCAAGTTGAAGGCGTTTCAAACTGCCCAGGTGGTGTCAATGGTCCATTGTTACGACGTGGAATGTTGAAGTCTGAAGTCTGAGGTGGCTGAGGTGGTGGGCAGCAAGAAATGTAAAGGACATAAATAGATCACTCAATATAAATCTATATGTATATATAGATGTATTTGATGAATCTTGCATTTTGTGATATTATGCATGACTCCTCTCGGGAAAGTCTTGCAGGCTCACAAAAGGCGGTTGTCCACCCCGACACAAAGGTTCATTAAGATCTTCTATGCTTGATTTACTTATCCAAGGATATGGATAGATATATAGTTTGCCTAGCACTTCCAACGGGTGCCCAATGGAGACCTGTAAGTAGGGTAGGGTAGTCTATTGGACACCCATTGGATGATCCTGGTATAGATAGTCTTTTGGTCATGTCTTTTCCATCATTGATAGAGTGTTTCGTCTGGTGCCCCCCCTCGACCATCGACCGAACTCTTCCGTTACCCTCGATCGTCAGGTGGGTCGACGATACCTAGATCAAGAGGATGGGGATGGACTGGATGGACTGGATGGGTCGATGCGGAGGGACTTGGACCCGGTCCGAGTGAGGTGCGGCTGGTCCTGAGGCTGAGCTCTGCCAATGGCGCTGGTGTTTTTGGCAGACATGTCTGAGGGTCAAGAGTTTTTTGTGGCTTGACTGACTTCAGAAAACGTCTTGCTGGAATGCGTTTGTTTGAAGCACCCCGGTCATCGGTGAGACACTCAACTTGCAGGAACTGACCCCCCACAGCTCACATGTCTTGAGATAGGAAAAAGAGATGTACAGAACAACATCCAAGAATCAACAAATATTTGGATGAGTCAGACTTCTACAGCAGATTGAAAATAAATGGCACACGTCTGGACCAAGAATTCTCATCGAACAATCAAATCCAGCACTTTCTTGAAACCCTAAGCTCCAAAGCCAGGGCTTTGAAACCCTAAGGCTTTTAGGGTTAGGGTTTTGAGAGCTCTTGTGCACTTTGGTGGTTACATTTAGGATGCCATCAGTACCAGACGCTTGCTTTCTTTGGACATACCCTCTCACATCTGCGGCTCGATGTCCGTCTCCGGTCTCCGGTCTCGACGCCGCCGCCTTGACGCCATGCAGGACTACCGGGCGGCGCAGATCTCCACGGCCAATAGCCTGGCCATCCTGCTGCCGGGGAAGCCCGGATCAGTCCAAGCTCGTCGATCCTCGGGGGATTGGTCCCTCGATGTGGTGGTTCCGTTGATTGGGGGCGCGCCTCCTTCAGGCACGCGGCGTAAGTAAGGCCTGAGAAGTGGCTGGTAAGCTGGGTGGTGGTTTCAGATATTTTCACACTTGTTCATACATTTTGCATATATTTTCTATCTCCAATCTTTACTTGCGAGGATTGAATTGAACCGAACCCAATCTATTTTGAGTTGAAACCACCGACCCACTGGCAAGTGGTCGAATGCAGATGTGGGTTCCTAAGAAGTGGAGGACCCTCAGTAGCTTGGACTATAGTGGATATAGAGTAGATGCTGCAAACCCAAAAAAGGGGGTCCTTCTAAACAACCTTTTGGGGATTGTGCCATCTACTCTCAAACCACTGTAATTGGAAAGACCAACGGGTCAGCTGGCAAGCACTCAAGGATGGACGCGTAGCCGCTTGCAAGTCCTGTTGTTTTGGTTCAAGGATGTTCAAGGTGTTTGTTATGGGTCTCAATTCTGACACAGGTCCTGACTTGCTTGGCTTTGCTGTCCACCCATAGGATCTAATTGATGTGCTGACAGGTGGAAATTTCTTTTCACTAGGTGTTTGAAGAGATATTGATCTCTTTATTTTGAGGGTGGTGCAGAACATGAATAATGATAATTATGTTTCGAGACTTGACCTGGATAGTTTTCCAAACATTGTCTCATTACCACTTACAGGTGGGTAAAGGATTATCACAGTTTTTTGAGAAAGGTCTGTACTAAGCATCATCATCCAGTGAAGCCTGGTAATGGGTATACATATACCCGATTCCCGGCGGTGAAATTTATGCATGTTAAAGTTGTTGGCATTGTGCATTGAGTTTGGTCCTGTAAGCAATGATTCTGTTCGTCGGGGGGGGGTGGCCCCCTGGATCAAATCCCCCTGCGCCGGTTCACGCCGTCATGGACTTCTACCACGGTTATGTGTGATTGCCTGCTACCTTTCGTTCACCCCCTCCTCTCTCAAGTTTTTCAGACCCAACATCTCCAATTTTAGGTGAATCAGAACGTGGCAAGTTCTCCACCCTCACATCCGGAAATCCACTCCGTAGCCCAGTTGAATAGAGCTCGTTTTTGGCACATGACACATTCATTTGATACATTTTAGGATGCATAAATTCTTCAATATCTTCATCATTGGCTGTTGAATCGACGGAGCTCCTCACCAACCGGGGGGGTATGTTCAAATCCTATTGCCATCAGCGTATGAGAATGTTTGTTGACATGTGCCTGGTTTTTCCGTAGGATGTTCTCTTGTGTTCTCTCTGGGTGAATCCCCTCCTGGAGAGTACATGTGTTATATTTTCCCGGCCTCCTGAAGACGCAAATTCAAGAAGACACAAAGTTTTCCACAGCCAACGCGCGCATGCGTTCTGTCGAACGCCCCATTCCACAGCCCCCCAACCACATTTGGCGTTCAAAACCCGGCACAGATTCCTCTATTTATAAGGGATGTCAACCTCCCATTGTTTGGTGAGGGAGGTCTTGACTCACGGCCATTTGTGGACATGTTTTTTGCTTGAGCCGACTCTCACGAGTCAATCGAAAACGTTGCAAGACTGGCGTTGCGCCAGGCTTTGGCTCCCGGGATGTTCGCCACTGTCGTTGCTGGCCAGGCCGCTGAAGCCTTGGAAGAACTTCGAAGCGACCAGAAGACTGAAGATATATAACAAGACCCTCCATGTATGTGATTTTTGATCTGAAATTGGGGTGGTGGACCCAGGGTGAAGGTACGTAGGTCAATCTTCCATACAAATTGTAATGGCAATACATGTCTTGCGCAGTAGTTACTGGTAACTGGTGCTGTCCAGTGGCATGTTCATGTGCTGTCTTCCAAGGCTTTGGTGACATCACATTGTGAGGACTTTCGGATATTCTTCGGAGGACGCCCCAAAACTGGGTCCATGGCATTTGTCCTTCCTTGAACTCTTGGAAAGCAACATGTTCTCAACCACAGGGATCATCAGCTTTGGACCAGCAGGAAAAGGTCAACACAAAATCGATGGAGACTAGCCTAAACAGCATGTATGTGCACAATACACGGCATGTGATGTCATTCGGTCAGGTACTCCAATGCGCCGCCCTTGCGCAATGTCGATGACACTTTGGCCTGGGCCCCTGCTGCAACTGCTAAAGATCTATGTAATTATAGTGGTCAGGTGAAGCTCCAAATCTTCCCATGTTAATGCTCTTAATTCAGGAAGTGTTTCAGGTACCTCCTTTTCAGATGGAACGGAGGTGAGTCCGAGAATCGGGTGGTCCTGTCCCCCGTTTTCTCAACGGATTGACATCAGACGTCAACGATGGTCTTCAGATGTGTTCCAGTCCGGACAGGGGGTGCGCCAAGCGTGCTACTTGGCGCGAACAGTGTTTTATCAACTATAATTGTACTATATATATATATAATGGTCTACATAATACAGCCCAAAGTTGATATTTTTTGGGGTTGGTAGTGTCATCACGATTATACAACTGTGTTTTGTGTTGGAAATGGGACACACACATACATAAACTAAACTATATATACTATATATACTATATATATTATTTGCACCCTCTTGAAGGCAAAGTAAGGTGAACAGTGAACACTGCCACAGGTTGTTAGGAAGAATGATGTTTGTTTAGTGGAGGTTGGATTGGCAGTTTGTTCATGTTGATGTGCCACAACTTCTGGCAAGACCGACTGGGACCGTCTGCGAGGACATTGTGAAGCACAAGATTCTGGACTGTTCCGGGGCGTGTGGACACCACACCGGCTCGCCTCTAGTGTCCCAGTGTCCAATTCGCCACTGCGCGTTTGATCAACTGGTTCAATTTATATTAAAGATTCTATTACATCTACGGTGTGGGATAGATGTGATATTATGTTCAGTTGTGCAAACTCTTTCAGGTTTTGAAACACCAAGCAACACCAGGAATTTCTGCCATCGACGAAACAAACTTGCTCGTTTGGCAAATGCACCCTTTCTGAAGCCACAATTCATAAATGCATCATCAGCTTGCAATCAGTTTATATGTTCTTTTTCAGTGCACCAGCTAGTGTTTAGGGCTAACCCCTCAGAAGACCGATATCGCAGTGCCAAGCGTACTACAGCAGACCTGCTGGAGCTTCTTTTCAGATGAAACGGTCGGGTGATTGTTTGGGGTATGATTTGGCACCCAGCCGATTCGGGGTAGCCAGGAGCAGGTCGACAAGGGCTTGGCCTATGAGGACGGAATTGTATGGAATGGCTGTGGGTGTTGAACGATGTGAATGGATACTTGTGGGTGGTTGACAATGTAGGTATTAAAGACATACATGGATACTTGGGGTATATGATATGTGAATGGATACTAGTTTTTTCGGATTGACAAGCAATACAGCTCAGCAAGCGGTTTTCAAAGGAGAGAACCTGCCCTCCCACCCCGTCGGTGTGGAGTATGAATTGTCCTTAAATATGAGACAAATCCAGAGGGACTGGACAAAAATCCATAGGGACTGGACCTTCACAGGGTCTCAAATCCCTAGGTTTGAGCAGTCAGGGCAGTTTGGAGCGTTTGGTCTCAGAGGTCTCCTCTACTTTTCCTGCACCTTGCTAGTGAAAGACCATGAAACATTGTGTTGGCCAACCCCTGACATTGTCACCCTCAACCGTATCTTCCGGGCAAGGCAAGAAACACCCGAATCACAGACAGGCGTCTCTGATTCCAGATTGGTGTTGTCTCCTCGTATGAAATAAGAGAATGACGCCCACTTCAGAATCTCCTAACACTGGTGTTGTCACTGGTTACTGTTCACAGTCTAGACGTAGTATCGTAAGAGATATGACTCCCAGGTGACTCATGTCCGCACGGCGCCACCAGCAACCGCATCGCATCTGTCAACAAGCAACCTGATGGAGTGGAGTCTCCGACCGGGGGTGCACACCCAGTTCATCCGTGGAACCGCTGAAGTCGCGTTGTTTCGACCTCCGGTGACCTACAGTGACGGCAGTTGAACTGAATCGGATGACACCATCAGCATGTGATTCTGTCCTGATCACCACACCCGAGCTTTTGTGCTTTGATGTTTTCTGTTCTTGTAGGGTCTAGTCCAACAACTCATGCTCCCATTTGCCTTTAATTTAACTGTTATTTAACTGTTATACTTATAGTTCTAGCATATCTCCCCAGTCAACCCCATCCTTGTCGATGCATCGCTCCGCGGAAGGACGCCGAGGCGGCCGTGCGGAAGCTCACGGCGCCGGCGGGAGCCGCGGCGGCTGCGAGCATCGAGGAGCGGAGGATGGCACTGCGAAAGTTGCAGAGCGGCCTAGGAGTCTTGGACTTCAAACGTCGAGGTGTGTGTGTGTGTGTGTTTGTTTGCTTCGATAGTACGTAGATCGATCATAACATGTGTGTGTATCTCTTTTGTGTGCGGGCTTGAAAGTTTAAAGACACAAATTTGCATGAAGGTGTAGGTTAGGACACTGGACAAATGGGCAAAGCGCCATACTGGGGGTACTTTCTTTGGAAGCCAGGCGTTTTTGGGCCGGATGTATTTGGCATTTATGAGATTTAACGATAACAACGAGGCGCACAGAGCGCGTTGTTTAGCATGAAAGGACGAAGATGTTCAACCGCTCGGCTACACTAAAATCGTAGCTTTCCACACAGCTCTCATCATCATCGGTTCATTTTTCCCTGCGGTCTCGGTTCATCCTTTCGCGAGGCATGAGCATTGCCTGGTCCTCCTTGGTGCTGGTGAGCCCGTTGGTGATGGGTGAGTGGGCCTCCTGGGCAGCGCCGATTTGCTTCGCAGTGACCTTCACTTTGGCATCTTGCTTCAGTTCTGGGGAGCAGTGGCGGGCCGCCATGAAGGTTTCTTCTTGGCAACTCAAGTGGGAAGGCATGAAAGGATAGTTTTGACAGGTGTGTACGTACATGAAAGATGTAGACATTATTCCGCTGTTGCTCATTCAAAATACTAATTAATGAAAAGAATACAATTGCCGCCAATGAAAGTAACGTTGCCTTGAAGGACAAAGCCGCAGCCAGTACTCATTGACAAGAGATGCCACTAGAATCTTCTATAGATGTGCCTTACTACCTTGGTCCCACCTTCGACCTTCCGATTCCTCCTCGCTGTCGGACACTGAGGTGGCCAGCTATGTCATACTGGACCGCGTGGTGATTCCCTGTTTGGGGCCCCAGAAGAGCCTCGGCAAAACGAAGTGCTCCAAAAAGGAGGACAAAAGGAGCTGAACAGGTCCGGGGTGGCCAATTTGAGCTTCTCAAAGCTGAAGAGCTTGGGGTGGCTGATTTGGCAGTTCCTGTTGAAGAACACCCAAAAAAACCACAAAACCACAGGATGTTCAACCAGAATTGGTCCAGAAGTGGTTCAGTTTGGGGGGGTACTTAATATTAGCCGGAAAGGAACTATAGCATGTCAGTAGTTCGTTGACAAGCCAAGTAACTACCAGAAGCATCAGTTGCTTCGGATCTCTGTTGCTTCGGAGTACGCCTCGCTGCCCTTGAGATCTTTCTCGGCCCCAGAACCTGTTACTACTAGCGTGGCACTTGTTTCTACTAGCTTCTTGTTACTACTAGTAAGGCACCTGCTACTACTAGCGTGGCACTTGTAACAGGTGTTTCTTGCTGGTCCCACCGCGATCCGAAAGAACGAGTTTGCCCTGGGCGGACGGGCGCGCCGCGACGGCCTCCTTCTTACAAAGCCTGACGCTCCCGACACATGTGCTCCAAATGGGACGGCCATATTGGCCGATCAGGCCAGGGGTGGTGAAAAGGGGGGGTCAATGGAGTGTATGGGACAATTACGACCCTTCGAACCGGTTCGGTATGAAGATACGACTGGACCCTCCTGGCGCCGAAATGGTTAACACTGTCTATAAGATCTCTATAGTGTCTCCCTGCTCACCTGCCTTCTCAGGTTCATCGTCCCCGTCGTCACATCCCATGCCCCGCTAGTAGCGTCGTCCTTGCTCCGTTCGTAGCGATGCCAGGAGCCCCTAGTAAAGTTTCTTGCTCCTAGCAGTCCATTTGGAGTCGCAAACGACGACAAAGAGTGAACGACCAGGGGACGGAGAAAAGGACGTTTAGGAGTTTAGGCGTTTGCTGTTCGAAGGCACACGTGCGACACACCTGCCTTCAGCCACGGCACCAGAAAAAAAAGTAGCAGCCTTCCCCAAAAAGTCGTGAAGTTCCTTGCAGCCCACACGAAAGTTGCTTTGATTCCTTGGCTTCCCTGCCACAGTGGCCACAGTGCCACTGTGGCCACCCAGGCCCCTAAACCACAGCAACAGGATGCAACAGGTATACATGATGTTCAATGTTATCACCCAACAATGGTGAACAGTATCTGTGATTATCTGTGGTCTGCATGTTTGTTTCTTATTTCTTCATCTCATACATAGCTGACTCGAAAGCACGATGGTCTGGCCTTATACACAAGGCCACCAGACAGCTGCTTGAAGCGTAACAAACATATATACAAATATGTCTCTTCATTTCTATCTTTCTTCCTTTTTTGTGGCCTTTTCAGGCCCTGTGGAGTGCACTGGGGATCGGGGGTGGCCGGTGCTCTCGGCCTTGCCCATTGGCTCTCCCTTGCCGCTGTGCACAGCGTTTCGCGTTTCATGGGGCTTTTGGAAGACTAAAGTCCCAAACGCTTTGGGCATGCTGATGCTGATGTTGTAGCCTCCCAAAGGCCCCAAACAGGCCAAGCGGTCCCTAAACTGAGCGTGGAAGTGGATAATACCATTGGTCCATTTATTCAATGTATTATTAATTCTTCAAATCCGCCAAACATCTCAAATCACACAGTATTGCTTCATGCTTCTTCACCAAATCCTGTTGACTTGCCCTCACAAAAAAACAACCACCACTTTTGGAGTCACTCCAAGACTTCCACTGTCCAACCCATCTATAGCCATGCTGCGGTGTGTGTATACGGTGCCCAAACATCTCAGAGCGCCTGAGATGAGCTGAGGATTCTCAGCCTGAGCGTCTTGCGGGAGACCTTGGAAGAGCTCCACGTCACGGAGCAGATCCTCGAGACCTACAGGAAACGTCGACCTCCGACTCGAAACGTCGACTCCGGAGGACACGCTTCGACTTCTCTTTTGGAAGACCGGGAGTCTGTTCTTGAACCAGCTTGTGACTTCATGTTTATATGGGCTTCACAAGCCCAATTTGAGGCAGAAAGGTGCTTTTCAATGTGTCCAGAACCACTTGTTTTAAACCTTTGAGATAGCCTGGCCACGCGGGAAACTTTGGTGTGGACAACCCTTTCTCAACCTGCTGGTTTGACAGCAGAGCAGCGAACAACAAACCGGAGCTCGGCAGCTCGTGCTCGTGCTCTTCGGAGCCCGTGCGCCGCGGGTTCGCTTCCGCAGCGCGCCAGGAATCTTCCGAAGGAGGAAGAGCAAGAAAGTTCTGAGGCGCCAGGGCCATGCAGGGCAGGGCTCAGTTTGGTTGGTTGAAAGGTGTGCATTTGGGACTCCGGGCTGACTGTCAGTCCTTGGAGTTGCCAACGTGGCCAATGTATATAGAAGCCAATGTTGACGCGTTTTTTTTTTGCGTCAGACGCTGGCGAGCACCCGCAGTAGCGGGGATCACACTTCTCCATGCAGCCTGCGGTGGATTTCTTTTCCGCGGACACGAGTCGATCAGCACGGTACACGATTCGTCGCTTTCTGACGCCAGGATGGAGATGCCTCCTCAGACTACTCCTCGGCGAATGAGTCCTTCTTGGATGAAGATCCGGGCTCCAGCAATGATCCTGACGTCTTAGGTGACTCGCTTCATTTTGTTTGGCTGCGAGAGTGGAACCTGGCCTGGGCAGGCGTTGGGTGACTCGCCCCCCAAGTCCAGAAGTAAATATAGTATAGTACATAATATACTTCCCTGCACGCCACAACAGGCCAAGGTAGAGGTAGCCCATACGTAAGGCATTTTCTTGGGGTTGCAGACTTCTCTTGGAAGATTGATGAAGACTGTGATGACACACCACCTCAGAAGTCCGTTTGGTTGGAAAACTGAGGGTTGGACATGGTACATCTTGGCATGAGAATTGGTCCTACATTGACGGTGATGACTGATGATCTTCTCCTTTCTGATTATTCGCACCAGTCGGCTGAAAATGGTTGAGCCTCCCTCCGTTTGAATGGTATATACCGTAGAAAACCTGGCCAGCTGGCTTTCGTGGCATTCCGAAAGTTTGGACCCCCCAAACCCGCCGAACCCAAACACGGCCAAAAGCATCGGCATCCGCTTCGGGAGCACGGGGATCCTCGGTTCCAGGACGGGAAGACCCGAGGCGCTCGGTGGGACGGACATCAACCGATGAGCTGAACATGTGGGGTGAAATAATACCGAGGAAAGCCCTTGATGAGTTAAATGAACTGTCACAAGTTCACTTATCTGATCTGTGATGTTTATTATTTTTTATGTCTTTATCAAGATAACATAAGAACATATTCAGAGTACGGACAGAAACAGGAAATGAACTGTTCAGACAAGTAACCCAGACACGATCCAGGGGACTGGCTTACTTACGGCTCACTTGGGGTGGTACAGTCAATGGGCGGCAGTGATTCTAGTCCCATGAAATGTTTGGGTAATTACTAACCGCACAGGCACATGTTTTTGTTGGTGCATGTTGGTACCCTTGGACTCCAGGTCTGATCCAAAATTCCTCGAGTTTTCTGAGGCTCGAAGCAAGTGAAAATCCTGGTGCGTCCCAAAGCCATGCGACTGAAGATGCACTTCGAGCTGATGAGGTCCCTACCGGCATGCAACTTGGTGAGAATAGCTGGCCATGGATCCAGAATTGGCTACTGTACTTGGATTTCGTGCACTGGGAGGCTGAAACTCGAGACTCTCGAGACGTCTAAAGAACAACAAACAATCCCTGCGTTTGATATTTCGAGCCGCATCCGAAACCGCTCAGGTGCTCGGCCTGACGTACTGTGGACATCTGTGGAACAGGGCCTACCTTTGCCTACCTGTTCCTACCAGTGGGCCTACTATGGCCTACCAAGTGGACCTACCTTTAGGACAAGACCAAGGTTTTTGTTCCTGGACAAACTGGAGAGTGGATGGACCATGGGACCATGGGACCATGGACTCTTTTGATGGACGAGTCAGCCATCAGTTGACCCGGGAAAGACACAGCGTGGTGCATGCGGCTGTCTTGACAGTTTCCGTGTATTTTCCACATATTTTCTGCAGCGTTGTCCATTGTCCACGGTCTCCAACTTTTGATCAAAGAGAATCAAGAGAAGAGCCGCAAGTGCAAGAGAGGTCCTCTGAAAACTAGGTCTCAGAAAGGTTCCGGACGTGTCCCAAACAACGATATCCTTCATCTTAAGTGATTTCAGGCCCTGTGAAGTGACATGATATCAAGGATTTGTTCAGTCACTGTTTGCTCTAAGCTCCGCTCCTACCGCTCCGAAGCGCTCCTACCGCTCAGAAGCGAGACTCCGGGGAGCGAGACTCAGGTGGAGAACACGTGCAGCGATACCAGCACCAGGAGCCTTTGATGCTTGGACGCTGCCGGTGGTTTTTCGGGGCGGCGGCGGGGACAGCGAAAAAGAAGATGAAAAGCATCAACACCACGTCTTCACCAGGAAGACATCGAGGCGTCTGGGGCGAAGACATCGAGACAGAGCCTTTTGGGGGGAAGAACAGCGAGATGCGCACGACCGGATGAGACTGACGACACTGAAACCGGACAGAAACGACGATGGGAGGCCCCAGTCGTTGCGTTTCTAAGAAAAAAAACAGTCGTTACCATGTTCGTTGCTGTGTCTTGGTCTTAGGGAGTCTAGGAAAAATGGCTCATTTGTTGGGTGTGTTTTTGTTGATATCTAAGCAATGAGCGGTGTCCGCCTTCCTAAGCTCTTGCTGTGTCGACATCGCCTCTGGTGATGCTGGGATCTTACAAGAGCTATTCGAAAAAGCAGGTACTTGCATCCAGTGGTTTCAGAGTAGATGATACAATCCTCAAATTTGGTGCTCAAAAAAGAGACCCCACTACAGAGATCTTGGAGGTTGTGCAATCTATTCAAAAAAAACACTGTAAAATCTTTGACAGAATGGTTATCCAGAATGGTTTTCGCAGGTCGAACTTGTCCAGAATGTGTTTTGTTGCATCGCTGGTCCCAGGAAGTATGGCCGCCTATTGCACGTGCCGGGCTTTTTGCCATCACTGCAGCCTCAACGTGCGGCGCGGATCACCGGTATGCGGAGCACGCGCAAGAGCGTGTTTACGGTGCCCAGACAAGTGGTGGGATCGTTTGGGTTGGGCCTGCAGTGAGGAGCTTTGCCCCCTGCATGAAGGTTAATGAAGAAGTTGTAATTGATTTGCTCAAAGAATCTTTGGTTCCTTCCACAGCAGGGGTCAGACCCTACTCTTTGGAGCTCCATTTGAGGGTCCGGATTCTTTAGGAACTTTAGGTATGATACACTTACCATCACTGACCTGTCACTGTCCACGTAAACTCTGCGATTCCCGGTGGAGCGGAGTGGTCACACTCCGCGAAGCAACGGCGCTACGGCGTTGCTGAGCTCCAAACCCGCCTTGAAAAGCACCGCACTTGGTCCCCTTTGGTCCCCCACTCCCAACAAAGTTGGACCCCTAACAGGTGGTGTTGCTTGAACCGATTTCCCAGATTCTCCCAACCTCCCTTTTGGAGCAAACAAAGCCAAAATGTCCAAGCGACAAAACACATGTCTGCACTCTCGCAAGTGGTGGATTGTAAGTACAGCCGTGGCATCCTCTCAGATGTTTGGGCTGGATCCGTCCATAGTGTGGACCTCGTGCTGCCGATTTGGGGCCAGGGTTATCCAGTGAATTCATGGTCTAGTGTTTGGACATGTTACCATTTAGGCACTCATACTGGGCAAAGTACTTTGTGCGCCTTTGCTGGAATCACGGTCTTGGCTCTCACAATGTCACAAGGGTTATGTTACTGTTCAGTGCCGTTTGTCATATACTCTACATTGATTTGTTACAGGAGACCTGGAGTCCTTGTCCATCCAAATGGAGACGAGAGCCCAGACTACGCGAGCCCAAACCAGCCACCGTGGCCACCTACACCCGAAGGTCTACTCGTATTCTCAGCACTCCTTGGCTCTTTGCCCCAAGTGAAGATGAGAGAAAAGTGCCGATATGACCTCAACATGATAAAAGCTGAGGGACCTGGCCTGGGACAGCTTTGTTACAGTTGTTTTAATTTGTTTAATGAACATATTCTAATGTATACTGTATACTCCATGATTCCAAACATGAGAGGTTGCTTGTGGGGCTATGATGGGCCGCCGGCAACCACAGACTCACGGATTTCTAGAGAACCGTGAAAGCCTGCCAGGTGCATCAACCCAAAGGAGCAGCCGCTGGGCGGTAGTACGTGTTGCCGATGACTTGGTCACCCCACGTCAGTGGGCGGAGACAGCGTGGTGGAACCGGTTGGGAGATCACCTGTCCGCGTGACCGAAGAATGGCGTGTACTCCGACACTCCATGAGACTGCCATATATGCCTACATTGACCCACGAAACCACCCCAATGTAGGTAAATATGACAGACATGGAGTGTTTGGGACTTGTTACTGGGCCGTGACCCACCTGGAGGCGCAACCGCCCGGCGTCCGCGTGACCGGTGGTAACGAGATCGACCGGTCCTCCGGTTCCGAACTCGGTGCTGGTCGTTTTCACCGCCGAAGTCAGATGCTGGTCGTTGGTTGGGGAAGACAGAGGTCTTGAGCT